GGCGGCGGTGACTCTGGAGGCGGCGGCGGCGCGGCCGCCGAGGGGTGGTCGCGCGAGCCAGTAAGCCTCGAGGCGCACCTTTTTGACGCCGCGTGCGCCGCCGGCGGCGTCTCGCTGGTTGGACGCCGACTCTGGGTGTTTGAGTCGCATGCGCTGCGCGACGCGGCTGGCGCAGAGCGCGGGCGCCGCAGCACACTCGCGCTCTGCCCGCGCTGCGAGCTCGGACGCCACGGCAGCTGGGTGTGCGCGGAGGTGACGGGCTTCGGCGCGCCAGCGGGCCGTGCCGGCGGCGCCGGCGGCAACGGGGCCGCCGAGGCGGCCCCGCCGGACGAGCTCGCGCACGCGACGCACCGCGTGCGATTTGTCGCTGGCAGGCGGCTGTGCACTGGCTATTTGCTGCTGGGCGCCTGCTACTGGCAGCTGGCGGCGGACGGGCCGCCGCCCTTTGTGTGCAGCCCCAAGGACGCTGTGGTGTGCGCGCCCTTGGCACCGCCTCGCATGCTGAGGACGGCGGCGGCGGAGTTTGACCCAGACGAAGGGGCCCAGGAGGGCGGCGAGCGAGCCAGCGGGCTTCTGCCAGCAGCGTCACCGGCTGGGCGCGAGGGGCCGCGCAGCGAGCCGCCGCGCCGGCTGCGGCGGCTGCGGCAGCTCGGGGCCGCGTCTGCTCCCAAGCCAGCGCTGACACCTGTGGCGGCCCCAAAACCGCCGCGCCTGGCTGCCAGGGCTGAGACACCCTTGGGGCCGTTGACCGGCGCGGCGGCTGCAAGCGGGGCCGGCCGAACGCGCGCCCTGGCCAAACGTGTCAACGTGGAGGGCACAGACGAAGCCGGGAAGGCATCGCTGGCTGCAGCCGCAGCCGCCTCTGGCTCGCGTTGCTTGTCCGACTCTGCTGCAGCGACAGTGAAGCCGTCGCCCGCGGGCGGCGCGAACGGCCGGCCCGCTGCAGCTGGGATCGCAGCTGTGCCAGGCACAGCACCGGCGGGCCAGGCGCGGTTGGGAGCTTCCTGCAAGGCGCCGCTGAGCGGACCAGATGCGGGCAGAGAATTATTGCTCAAGGGGGGGCCTGCTGATACAGCTGGCCGTGCAGGTGGTGCAGCAGGTCGCGAGGCTGTGGCAGCAGGAGCCTTGGCGGCAGCGCCGGCAGCGGCGCCAACAGCAGCCCGAACAGCAGCGGCAGCCCCAACAGCAGCGGCGGCAGCTGAGCCAACAGCGGAGCCAGCACCAGCACCTCTAGCAGCGGCGGTGGCAGCGCCAGCGGCAGCAGCAGCGCCCGAGCCTGCGCCCGAGCCTGCGCCCGAGCCCGCCCCCGAGCCCGCGCCCGAACCCGCGCCAGAGTCCGCGCTGGAGCCCACGCCCGCCCCTAAATCGTCGCCCGAGCCCGAGCCCGCGTCGGCACGTGCGCCAGGAGTGCCGGGTCTGGCGGCTGAGAATCTGTACGATACCTTTGCGTCGCTGGTCGGCAGCGTCCTCACAAACTCAGCGGACACATCAACACCCCGCCAGGTCAAGCTACCGCAGCTGCCGCCGATCCCCACTCAAACCCCCACCCTTGAAGTGCGCTCATTCGTGCGCAAGGGCCTGCTGGCGGTGATGGTGGCGGTCAAGGGGAGGTACGCGCCTTGCTGCTCCCAGCTGTGGCGCCACATGAGCAGCGTCGGCACGGAGAGCGTGTGTGTGCAATACGTTTTCGTCCAGGCAGCATGCGCACGCGGCGACACTGACCTGGTCCAGCTGTGGTTGGAGGAGGTGCTGGCGCCGAAGCAGCAGCCGCAGCAGCAGGCGCAGGAGCAGTCGTAGCAGCAGGCCTGTCCGGCTGAAGAGGCGGCGCGGCACCGGCTGGGCGCGTGTGGGCCATGTTGGAGGCCATCGACGGGTCACTGACGGCAGCACATGGCCACCTGTCAGGTGGCTGTGGTGGCTGCGGGCCGGCATGCGGCCTGATTGGCCAGGACGCGTCCATGCACCATCACAGCATAACATTTAGAGAGTTTGAATACTCTCACAATGCCGGAGTGTATTGTTCTCGTTCTTCTCCTCCCGCCTTTCAACAATTGACGGGTTGCTCGAAACGTCAGGGCGGTTCAGCAAGGTAACGTGTTGAAATGAACGGTACTTGGGATCCTCGAAATTTTCGTAAATTCTTAGTGCACAAGTGTTGACCGTCGATCTGGGGTCTATCAATCTGTGTCTTGTGTGTCATCAAATGAATCGTAGATGACGCGCTGGTGGCGAGGCCTCAGCCTCGGGAGGCTGCGGGGCCCCTGCAGCACTTTTGAACGGGGATCATAGCTGGAGTGCAAAGGAGCTCAGCGCGTATGACAAAAGCGCAAACAGGGACGTCGGCATCTCTGGGGCCCTTCCACGCTGCACGGGTGAGACATGACAACCCACTGCTTCGCCGCTTGTGCTGCGCTGGTGTCTCCCTGATTGTCGATGTGCTGAGCTGCAGCACCTTCACCCCCACCCACAGCCGGATGGTCCGCCCAGCCCGGCACACACAATCAGCATGCTGGGCAGCAAGGGTAGGAGCGCCCAGCAGCCGCAGCCAGCGCCCGAGTCACCGCCAGTGTACACCGTGAAGCGCGTGGGCGGCGGGTGAGTTGGTGGCGGCCATTTGTTGCAGGGAGCAAAAAAGCGTTGGGGTGCACAGCCTAAACGGGCGCGTGATGGGAACAAAGAGGTGATCCCCCACACTGTCGTGATTGATGACAGCTTTCCAGGCCTGCCGTGATGCTGATAAGCAGCAGGCGATGCGACATCCCCTCGATTGACAGGCAATCCCGCACATCGTGCCACAACGCCCCTCGCTCTTCGTCGCAGGTATGAATACGCCGCAGACACAGCGGCGCCCTCTGATGCGCGGCGCAGCAGCTACAGCGGCAATGGCGGCGGCGCGCTGGGCCGCACCGCGCGCCCGGATCCTGCGACACCCACGGTCGCCGACACAAGCACAGGCGGCGGCGCCGCAGTCGGCAGCAGCGCCGGGCTGAGCTCGGGGGCGGGGCAGGGCAGCAGCTTCCCATCGGCCTATGATCTGGAAATCATAAGGGAGGTCATCCTTGTCGCGGAGGAGCGCGCGCGGCGCGAGTACGCGCAGGGCAGCGGCGGGCGCGAGCTGACGCTCGTGAAGCTGCTGCAGGCGTACGAGCAGGTGCGGGGCTGCCCCCGCCCGCGGCCATTGATCCTGCAATATACAGTCGCTGCACGCCCATCCGCGCCCGCCCGTTCTGAGCCGTGGCCGTGAGGCAGGGCGCTGCATCCTATCCACCTCCAAACGGCACCCCATGCACCCCGCGTGCTGCCGTCGCCTCGCTCCCGTCTGGTGTGCCGTGCCATTGCGATGTTGTCACACCCACCCCCAGGTACTGCCGCGGCACGGTGTTTTGGCGGAGGAGGACGTGCATTACTACCGCATCCTGCTGCGCCTGAGCCTGGACCCCGAGCCCAACTGGTGGTCAAAGTTTGACCGGGAGGCCGCCGCCTGCGAGGCCAGGTGGGCAGTGCGCGGGCGGTTGCGGCGACTCAGGGTGGGCGGTTTTAGGGTTTTTCGCACGAGATGAGACAGGATGGGACACGCAGTGGGGTGGCGGGTTTTGGTTGCGGTGGATGGTTTGAGCGAGATTAATGCCAGCAGGAAGGAAGGCGCGCAGGAACATTTTGCTCGATGGTGCAGCTGGCGTGCCGGGCCCATTGCTGCACTAGTCGACGGAACCTGCCGCCCGACCGCGCCGCTTCCAGGTGCGGCAACCTTGGGTCCGCCCCTGGCAGCCCCTCATGCACCCTGCGCCCAGCCGACGGTGTTGTGCTGGCGGACGTCTCTGGCGGCCTCGGCACGGCGCGGTGGCAGCAGCAGCAGCAGGCGTGGGGGCCCGCGCCTGTGCCGGTGCGGGGCGGGCCCCCTCCCGCCACCTCACCTCAGCGGGGCGGGCGGCAGGGCATGGAGGCGTGGGGGCGGGAGCATCAGGACCAGCGGCTGAGCGGCAGCGGGGTGCGCCCGGCTTCCGCAGGCCGGCTAAGCAGCGGCGGCGGCGTCAGCTGGGAGGGCGCGGATGCGACAAAGGTATGGAGTTTCGGCCCTGAGGGTGGCGCTGGCGGCTGGGGGATGGCGGGCGGATGGGGCATGGGGAACGGCACGGCCGCGGCCGCCGCCCGGCGCAGCGGCAGCCTCAGCCCGCCGCGCGCGCGGCACAGATCCCGCCGCGGCGACGCGGCCGCGGCCGCGGCGCAGGCGCGGCGCGAGAGCGGGCGCCACTCCCCTGAGTTCAACGAAGGCGTGACCGTCGCAGAAGCAGCATTCCGGCCGGCGCCGGCGGCGGGCCTTCTGGAGTTGAGCGATGCTGGGTGTGCGGTCGCGGCCCCGTGGTGCGCGTCTGTGCGACCCTCCTCCTCTAGCCCTGGTTTGATGCGGCGGCCGCACCACGTCAGCGACACGGCAAATGGTGCCAGCGCCAGCGGCTGGCCCCGCAGCCGCAGCTGCAGCCCGACCATAGGGCTGTGCAGCTCGCCGCCGCGGCTGCGGCCCGGCGGGGCGGAGCCGCACGGGTCGCAGCGGCTGCGCCTAACGTCTGGCGATCGCGGCGCGAATGGCGGGGGCGGCCGCGCTCAAGGCAGCCTCGAGCGCTTCGTGCTCTCATCTCAGCTGCGGGCTTCCCTCGCGAGCAGCCGCGCGGCGTCTCCGCAAGCTGCGGGCAGCTTTGATGCCGGCCCGGGCGCCGCGGCGCCGCCCACTGCCGCGAGGACGCTGCTGGCCGCGCTGCTGCCGCCCGGCGCGGCGGCGGAGAAGGAGCGGCGGGATCTTCATGAGTACCTCGCGTTTTCTCGGCGGTTGGGACTCTTTGTGCTGTGGCGGGAGCACGCACGCGTCGCGCGGGCGATGCGGTGAGCGTTTGGCCTGCAGTGGGCTCAAATGTTTGCTAAAAACGCTGCCGTGAGTTCGGTGGCGTGGCGCCGCATGACCCTCAAGTCCTTGATTCCGCGCAGCCTCGGTCCCTCATGAAATCATCACCCAACAAAGCATGTCTGCAAGCGCGCGAGCGCATCCACCCCCACCCACGCGCACACACGGCTGCCGGGCACATGAGCAAACGCACGCATCACGCATGCACGCATGCATGCATGCGCGCACCCTTATCACGCATGCAGGGACCCCCAGGAGCGCGCCGTCGCGCGGTGGCGCCTCGCCATGTCCTTCTGGGAGGTGCATGCCGCGCGCCGCTGCCTGCGGCGCTGGCGGCTGTACGCGCGGCTCGCGCGCCTGGGGGAGCAGGAGGACGAGGCGGCGCGGCGACTGGGGCGCGCGTTCTCGTGGTGGCGCGGCATGGCGCTACACTACCGCAGGTGACGGGGCCGGCGTGGCGCGCCGCGGGGCGGCGGCCTGCTCATGGATGCAGGCATGTGGCGGATGCGCGTCTCAATCACACGTCCGGCGACGTGCAGGGGCGCAGGTGACCCCCTTTCTTCCTATGCAGCCGCGTGAGTTCTGCAACCACAGTTGCTGCCTTCCGCATTCGCAATAACCACCCATGTTCCCGACCATAAACTGCAGGGAGCGGGGCCTTGGGGAGGGCCACGTCCAGGAGAAGGCCCTGGCGGGCGCGTTCTCGTCGTGGGCGGCGCGCGCCGGCGGGCGCGGCGGCGGCGAGGGCCAGGCGGCCGTCGCGGCGCTGAGCGCGTGGGTGGGGGGCGGGCTGCAGGCGGCCTTCAACACGTGGCGCTGGTGCGTTGTGGGGGTAGGGCGCGATTTGAGAGGAGGTTGGGGAGGGAGAGCTTGGGAGGACGCTGCGAAAGGACAGCACGAGTGTCAGCAGTTATCAAGTTGGTAGGGTTCCAGCACCGGTTGCATTGTGGGAGCCCAGCGCGTGGCGCAGGGGACACGCAGCTCGTCCACCCTAGTATCAAGCTAGCCTCGCCTTTCCTTATATGAGTTTCCCAAAGCATCACCCCGCGCGCGCGCGCGCAGGGCCACCGAGGAGAGCCGCGACCGCCTGGCCGCCGCCCGCACCCACGACTGGCGCGCGCGCGCCAGCCGCGCCCTCGGCGCGTGGCACGCCACCGCGCGCGCCCGCGCGCGCGAGACGCGCCTGCAGCAGGAGCTGACGTGGCACCACGTGCAGCACGTGCAGGCGGCGACGTGGCACGTGTGGCGGCGGGCGCTGGAGGCGCGGTGCCCGCAGCACAGGCTGCTCAGATATGCTTACGTCCGCCGCGGCAGGGCCACCCTGAAAAAAGTGGGTGGCGCCGCCACGTCCCTGATCCGCCAGCCGCATTCAATCACCCTGGCAAGGCCGTGCCGTGCAGGGAGATTTGCCTGCCTGACTGTGTGAAAGCTGGCCTGGTTTGGATGCTCATCGGCGAGTAGCAATCGCGCGTGGCACGTGTCATGTCAGAAGGTCAGGGCAGTGACCCCACTCGCCCTGCCCCGCGCACCCGCCCGCCCCGCAGGCGCTGCTCTTCTGGCGGGGCTGGGCGCCGGTGTCGCGCGCCGCGCGGCGGCGCGAGCGCGACAAGCTCGCGGCGATGGCGCGGTGGCGGCGGCGCAGGCGCGCGGCGCGGCCCGCCCCGCACTGCAGCACGTTGCAGCCGCTTGTCCTTCTTCAGCTTTTTGAGGGAGGGGCAGTCATCTTTCGTGGGCCGCGTGCAGGGCGGCATTCTTGCCAGGGCCACCCCACCAAAAGTGAATGGAGCTTTGGGGGCGGCCCGGTGCAGCGCACTGCTCAACAAGCAGCGCTCAACAACCGCAAAACCCCCGTCCCTCGCCGCGCGACAGGCTGTGGACTGCCTTGCGCGACTACACTGTCCGGCGGCGGGGCGCGAACCAGCTGCGCGCCAGGGCGCATGCCCACCTCAGGTATGGTCTTGGGTTTTTGGGGGCGGTGGTGTCAGCCACTGACTTGTGAATTCGGTACAAATGCTTGCGCAGCTCTTGACCGAGTGGCCGAATGCCTGGCAGCCGCGGGAGCCTGCCTCGGCGGCTGTCAGCTGTGTCGCAGTTGCCTGTTGGCGGCGCTGTGTCGGGCCGTTGAGATCCCCGCACGACAACCGAGCTGAGGCCGCCCGCCTGCTCAGCTGCCAGCTGTCGGCTGGGGGCCAACCACTGCAGCAATCAGTCTGTGCAATTCACGCCTCCGCGCTCCCCAGGGCCAAGTGGCTGCGGCGCCACCTCGACCGCTGGGCGCGCGTGTTTGAGCTTCGAGGCGCGCTCGAGGCCCGCGCCGACGCGTTCGCCGAGCGCCGCGCCGCGCGGCGGCTGGGCTCAGCGCTTTCGTGGTGGCGCGGCTGGCGGGCGCACCAGGCGCGCAAGCGCGAGTGGCGCGCGATCGTCGAGGCGCACATGTCGGCGTCAGCGCGCGCGCGGTGCCTCGCCGCGTGGCGCGGGCGGGTGCTGCGCAAGGCGCAGCTGCGGGAGCTCGAGGCCGCCGCCCGCGGCGCGTCCGCACGCGCCTCGGCGCGCGCCGCGCTGCGCGGCTGGCGCGCGCGCGCGGCGCGCGTTGCTTCTTGGCGTGGCGCGACGGCGGCGGTCGCGGCGCGGCGGATGCGAGCGTCGATGGCAGCGGCGTTTGGCGCGTGGCGCGGGCATGCGAGGCGGCGGCAGTTGGATCAGGAGGCGTATGATGAGATTTTGAGGCGGGATGTTCTGCGGGTCTGGGGCGGCGCGATCTCGCGCTGGCGGGCCGCGGCGGACTCTCGCCGCCGGCTCGCGGCCGCGCGCGCGGCGCTGCAGACGGCGTGCGCGCGGCGGTGCCTCGTGCACTGGAAGGCGCGGGTGGACTACAGAGCGGACTGGCAGGCGTTCCAGGGGGAGGCAGTCCGGCGGCTGGCGGCGCGAAGGTGGGGGGCGGGCTGCCGCTGCCACGGGTGGATGTCTCAGCCACTTGATTCCTCGTCAGAACGGGGGTGAACCCTGAATCTCTGATTGTGGTTGTCAAATCACCTTTCAGGCTGCCGTGATCCAGTCCACACCTGTGGAACCGCACGCCCTGATGCGTCTGCCAAGCTACCCTCCCGCCTGCGAACGCCGCCCTCTGTGAAGGCTCGCCTCGTGGACGCGCGGCTGGCGGGCGGCGGCTGCACGGCGTGCGCTGCTGCGGCGCCTGGAGGCCGACTTCCTGGAGCGGGCTGCGCAGCGGACGGCGGCCGCTTGCTTGGCGGGGTGGCGAGCCCTGCTGGTCCGCAAGTGAGTCTGGGATCTCAGGGAGGGAACAGCCACTGCGGCGAGCTGCGCACAGAAGCAGTACGCGCACGTACGCGCGTGTGCACGCACAATTGCACACGAGCAGACTTATGCACAACGCACGCACTCGAACACACACAATAACATACTGTCACACGATTGAACACGCACAAACACACAGATACACACACACACACACACACACACACACACACACACACACACACACACACACACACACACACACACACACAACTACACAAACACACACACACACACGCAATCACATAATTACACAATAACACACCATCAAACAGTCAGTCACACGCACAAGCCCATTACATACACACTCACAATTACAATTACACACGACCATAATGCCTCCAGGGTGTCCAAGCAGATGAAGGCCCTTTCAGCGCTGCTGCACGCGGAGCGCGCCCTCAAACGCCGCGCCATGGCCGCATGGCTCCTCCGCCTGGAGGGCTGGCGCCTCAAGTGCGCCGGGGCGCCCGCGCGGGTGCCCGCGACCGCTGGACGGGGCTTCTGGCGCGGCGCCGCATCCACGCCTTATATACAACGTGCCGGCAGCCCAGTAACATCAGGGTCTGCGCCGCCCGTTGAGTGTGAATTCACTTGGTCCCGTTTGTACCGGCCACCAAGTCATCACCAGGCCTGCACACGCTCCAACACCCTCTTGACATCACACGGTGCTTGCGCCCACCCAGGCGGCTGCGGCGCGTGCGCGCGGATGCCTACTGCGCGGTGCGGCTGCTGGACGCCGGCCTGACCGCCCTCGCCAGCCACTGGGCGGAGGGTGCGGAGCTGCGGCAGCGGGCGGCATTCTTCGCCGCGGCGAGGTGGGCGGGGGCGGACGCGGTCGCCTTGCCGCACTCCCGCTCCGCCGGCCGAGTCTTGAGGCCCTGTCACTGCCCCGTTGTTTCAGGGGGCCAGGAGAGCGTGTTTCTGGGGGCCGTGCCGGGCAGTGTCGCCGCCTCGCCGCGGTTCTCAAGTCATCCGCACAGAGCAGCCGCCCGTCTTCCATCCCGTTGGGCCGGTCGCGCCCCCCACTGACCCCCTCGCCGTCTCTATTGCTGCCTCCCTCTCCCCTAGACAGCAGCGGCTCAACGCAGACCTGATGCAGGCATGGATCGCCGAGGCCAGGCGGCGGCGCATCAAGCGGCAGCACGTCGAAATGTGGGTGCTCTGCGCTCAGCGCCCGGCTCCCTCAATTGCTTGAACGTTCTTGATTGGCAAGAGCGAGCTAGTGGGCGCGCCGCACCGTCTTCCTCATGTACGTGTAGCTTTTTCAGTGCGTCCCGCCAACAGCCCCTTTTCAGTCGCTGCAAACCGCCGCAACCGCCGCAACCGCCGCAGGGCCGATGTATACCACACTGTCAGCCGCCTGGACGGCGCGTTCAAAGGGTGGCGCCGCGAGGCCGCGCGGCGCGCGCGGCTGCGGGCGGTGCTCGTGCGGGCGCTGCTGCACTGGAGCAACCTCAACACGGCAAAGGTGGCGCCAGGGCCGAAATTTACTGATTCAGCCAAAAATGATCCCAGCCTGGCGGGCCGGCCGGCTAGGGGACACGGTTGGAGATGTGCGACAGCCAGTGCTGGCATCTGCAGCTGAAATGGTTTAAGGACTGCAGGCATTTGCAGGCTGGCAGGGTTGTCCCTTGCTTCGACAGCATTGGTTCCGTCCCGCTCGCGCGCGCTTCGCAGGCATTTGGGTGGTGGAAGGAGTGGGCGCTGACGCGGGCGGCGCTGCACCGCCGCGCGCGCGCGTACGTGGCCGCGCTGCTCGGCAGGGAGATGGCCTGGGCTTTCGGCAAGCTCAGGTGCGGCCTCGCGTCGCAATTTGATGCTCTGCCATGCGGAATTTGGCGCCAAACACAGCACACCATCGCACCGCAGACCCGCGCCCAGTTCACCCCCTGCTTTGCTTCTGTTGCTGCTTGCGAGGTGAACTGATCGCTGTCGCGAATGCCTGATTCGCCCTCATCCCAGGGGCAATGCCATCCGGAAGCGCCGCTCCCGCGCGGCCAGGGCTGCTTACACGCGCGGGCTGCTCGCGGCCTGCTTCTCCGCGTGGCGCCGCCGCGCGCGCGACGCGGCCGAGTGGCACGGCGTGCTCGCGGCGCACGGCGCGGCGCAGCGGCGGGCGCTGCTGGCGCAGGCGCTCGGCGGGTGGCAGGACCGCGTCAGGTTCAAGTCGTGGAAGGAGGGCAGCATGATGAGGTAAGCCATCATCATGACCTGACCTGATCTGACTCATCTGATATGATGCCACTGATCTGATCTGTTCACCATGGCCCTTTGTGCCGTGTGAGCAGAGGCACATCGGTGGGCCTACCAAGCCGGCCGCGACACCCACTCTCCCGCAGGGCGCTGATGCTTTGGGGCGGCAACCGCCGCCGCCTGTGCTTTGCCGCGTGGCGCGCCTATTCTCGCCAGAGGCGCGTCAAGGCGAAGCGGATCGGGCGCGCCCTCGGCCACTGGACCAACGGCTCCCTGACCCGGGTGCGCATGGGGGGGGGGGAGAGAGGGGGGCGAGAGCCTTTGCAGCTTACTTGGCACGCCCAGGGGCAGGAGCGATTGCCAGCAGTTGTGCAGCCATGGTGGAGCGCCGCGCAAACCCTTTGCTGAAGACCACAATCAAAGCGAAGGTGCTTCGTTGTTGGAGCGTCACGTTGTTGGGCGTCTCATCAACCAGCATCACACGTGTGACAAATGCTTGCTTGGATCTGCTCTCACTGTGCCTTGCTGGAACGCAACCTCTGCCCCTTCTGTTGGCCCCACCTGCAGTGCTTCAACGAGTGGCGCGACTACGTCACGCGCCGCCGCGTCGCGCGCGCCGTCGCCGCGCGCTTCGCCGCCCGCTCGCTCTCGACCGCTTTCGCCGCGTGGCGCGCATGGGCGGTGCGGAGGGCGGGGCTGGCGGCGGCGGAGGTCCAGCTGCGGCGGCGGACGCGCTTGAAGGTGGGCGCGGCGGCATTGGCTCACACAATCGCGCTCTGCGTCCCCCACCCACCCTGCTGTGCGTGCTGCGCAGCCTGCTGGCGTTCACCATCCACATGCTACTGTGCCGCCGTCGCTCCCTGACCCCGTTCCATTCCGGATCAATCATGTGAACATATCCACATGAATACAAGCGTATTTACAACGTGTGATCGATCTGATCCCACCCACCACCTTGCCAGGTGCTGTGGGAGGCCTGGGCGGCGTGGCGGCAGTTTGTACCGCTGTCCATATCCCACAGGGACCTGGCATTCAGAGCAGAGCACCACTGGGTGGGCGGCCGCCTCGCGCGCGCCTTCTGGGGCTGGCAGACCGGCGCTGCGCGGCGGCGCGCCAAGCGCGCGGCGCTGCAGGACGCGCTGCTGCACTGGCGGCGCGCCGCGCTCGTGGCGGCGCTCGCGGCGTGGCGGCGCGGCGCGGGGCTGCAGGCGCACGAGCGTCGCGGCACGGCGGGCGCGGACGCGTGGCGGCGGGGGCGGGTGCTGGCCGTGGCGGTGGCGGCGTGGCGGCTGAGGGCCCGGCGGAAGGCGGAGGGGCGGCAGCGGGCTGAGTGGGCCATGGGGCGCCAGCGGCAAAACAGGCTTGGGCACACATTTGACCAATGGCGCAAGGTGCGGCAGAGCGGTTCCCTCCCACTATTCGCATGGGATCAACGCACTTGCTTGTCTCTTCTCTGCCCATTGGGCGTTCTTGCAAACCATATATCCCCCCGGGCTACCCTTTTCCATGCCTCGGTCTCTGTCGGCAAAAGCGGCTTTCCGCCGCCCCTGATCCTTGGCTGACGCCGCTCTTACTCCCCTGCCCGCCCCTCCCCGCCCCGCTCCCCCATGTCACCACACTTGACTGCAAACAGGCCGCCCAGACTCGCGCGTACATGCGGCAGGCGAAGGAGGTGGCGCGCATCTCCTGGTCGTCCGCGACCCTCCGCAAGGCCTTCCGCGCCTGGTGGCGCCGCGCCGCCCGCGCGCGCGCCGCGCGCGCCGTCAGCGGCGCCGCGCGGCTGCGGGCGCTGGCGCTCGCCCTGGAGGCGTGGCGGCTGGGGGCGGCGGCGCGGCGGCGCAAGCGGGAGGTCGTGCACGGCGCAGCGCGGCGGCTGGACACCGGCCTCGTGCGCAAGTCGTGGGGGGCATGGAGGGTGAGCGCGACTGCTGCTGCAAAAACACGCGCGCCTGACTCGTCGTGCGGCTTGTAGGTTGATGGGGGGGTAACGACTTAAAACCACTCCAGCAGGCATTGGAAGGGACTTGTCAGCCTCTGCTTATGCCCTTCACATGATCAATGGGTGCCTTTGCTTGCAAAAAGGGCGACGCCAAATCGGCACTCTGCCGCGTCATCCCGTCTGCAAACGCCCAGGAGGCGATGGACCGGCGGCGGCAGCTGCTGGCCGGCGCCGACGCCGCGCTCGCGACCGCGCGCGCCGCGGTGCTGCGCCGCGCGCTCGGCGCGCTGCACCTGCACGCGGTGCGGTCGCGCATGGCGCGCATGGCGGTGGCGCGCTGGAACGACGCGCGGGTGGCGAGGTGGGTTGGGCTCGCAGCTGCAGTGCATACGGATGTGTTGATGTAAGAATGCGTGCTTTGGTGCAGCAACCAGCAGAGTAGTTGGTCGGTCCTGCATTGATGCACCAAGGTCTGCTCACAAGTCAGAGGTCGGTTCCATTTTGCTGCCGTGGGTGCAGGTGCTTTGAGGCGTGGCGGGAGCAGATGGCGTACGCCGCCCACATCCGCAGCGGCGCCCTCGAGCTGCTGACGCGCTGCAACAGGTGCGCGGCTGCCTCGCTGACGTTTGACCAGGGGTGACCGTTGACCTGCGTGGTGTCCAGGTCAGCAGAGCGGGTCGCATGAGCTTGCAACTGGTGGCGTGCGCCATACCAGAAGGTAATGAATGCATTGCCTTTTCACTTCACGCCGACGGAATGCCTGGCCTCACGCACGAGCGCAATTAGGCGCCTGGCCTGGAACGCGCTCCAAGAGTGGCGGCAGCTCGCCTATTTTGAGCCGCGGCTGCGAGAGGCCGACGCTTTTTGGGCGCGGCGGCGGCAGACGGGTGAGTTGCGTCCTGCTGCTGCGCTGTCGCGGGTTGGCTGGTGCCCTCAGAGGCGAGGGCGGGGCTGCTTGACCAGGGGCTGGGGCTGCTTGATGCGTTCTGTCCTGGCATGACATCTACATGGGTTGCCACGTCGCATTAGGCTCCCTCAGCAAGTCACGCCAACGCGCCGGCCCTCGGGCCCGGCGCACGCCCCGCAGGCGTCCTGCGCGCCTGGGCCCGCCGCTGCCGCGCCGTGCGCCGTGCCACCGCGCTGCACGCGGCGCTCTCCTCTAGATGGAACCGCGGCACCCTCGCCATGTGCCTGGGCGGATGGCGCTTAGTGGCACAGGAGCAGGCCCAAAAGCGCGCCCTCGAGGGCCGCGCCGCCGCGCGGTGGCGCAACCTGCACCTCTCCGCGGCGTTCGGCGCGTGGCGCGGCGCGGCGGCGCGGGCGGCGCGGCGCGAGGGGGCGGGGCGGCAGGTGGCGCTGAGGTGGCGGAGCCTGCACGTGTCTGCGGCGTTTGGGGCGTGGACGCGGCTGGTTCACGAGCGCCGCAGGCACAGGTGCGCTCCACAACAGCGACGTGCGTGGGGCTGCCTTCTCCCAAGACTGGGTGATTTGATGATGTGGGGACGTGTCGGCGCCTTGGCCTGGAAGCCAACCCTGTCTTCCAAAGGGCGCACCCTAAGCTGTGTGATCGCCGCTGCGCCTGCATGCCATCACTTTGTCAACTCCAGGGTTGCGCTGGAGGCGCTCGCAAGCCGCTGGTCGGCGCAGCAGCTGGCGGCGGCGCTGGTGGCCTGGCGCGGCGTCGCGCAGGACATGGCGGCGCGCCGCGCGGTCGCGGACGCCGCGGCGGCGCGCATCCAGTCCAAGCTCCTCGCCGCCGCGCTCGCGGGCTGGCGCGAGCGCGCGCGCGACCGTGCCGAGATGCGGCGGCGCGCGCTGCGCGCGGGCAGCCAGGTGCAGCGCGGCGCGCGGGCGCGGGCGTTCGCGGTGTGGCGCGGCGCGGCGCGAGCGTCCGCGCGGCGCCGGGCTGCCGCCGCGGTCGTGAGCGGGCGCTGGGGCGGGCTCCTCGTCGCATCGAGCTTCAAGGGGTGGCGCGTCGCCGCTGCTTGGTCGGCGCGCAAACGGGAGCTGTCGGCGCGCGCGGCACGGCGCATGCGGCGCCTGCGCCTGACGCGCGCGCTGCATGGCTGGCAGGCAGCGGCCGCCAGGTCAGCGTCGCTGCGCTCCAAGTCGGCGCGCGTCGCGTCCGCGCGCCGCGGCGCCGCGGCGGCCTCTGCATGGAGTGCATGGCGCGCATTTGTGCGCATGCAGCAAGCGCGGCGCGCTGCATGGGCTGCCGCACGGGCGCACAGGCGCCATGCAGTGCTGGATGCATGCATGGGCCTGTGGATGGTTGCGACCGCGAAGCAGCGGCAGACTGCGGCTGCCCGTGAGTACTCCGGCTCGCGGCGCATGCGTGCCGTGCTGCTCGTATGGCGAGACGCGGCTGCGGCGGCCCATCTGCGGCTCGAGCGGTCGGCGGCGATGCGGACACGCGCAGACGCCCGCGCCCGCGTGACAGCGCTGACGTCGGTGCTCGGCGCATGGCGGGCGCGCGTGCTGCGCAGCCGTGCCCTGCACGAGTTCGTCGTGGCGCGCGCGCTGCGGGAGCTGCGCCGCTGCTTGGCGGCGTGGCGGCGCCATGCAGAGCGCATGGCGGGCGCGGCGCTCATCATGCGGCGCATGCTGGTCGGGACGCTGGGCGGCGCGTTTGCGGAGTGGCGGCGCGCAGCAGCCGAGCAGGCTTACTGGCGAAGGGTGAGGCCACAGGACAAGGAACCACACCTTTGGGTGGCTGCGCAAAGCGTGCACAGGCCCATGCATGACCCCGCCCGCGCCGCGCATTGGTGCACAAACACCAAATAACCACACCTGCACGCCTGCTTCAATTTGAAAAGCATGCGCCTCTCGTGGTGCAGCACCAACCACAATCACTAATGCTCGTTTCACTTGATTAGCAATCCATGATATACTCTTTGGCACAACCATACATGTCAGGCACTCTTGAAGCTCGAGCTTATATTGGAAGACGACCCGACGGCCGCCACCGCCGGCCGCGCCGTCGTCCACCGCTGGCTCACCTGGCGCGCCGCCACCGCCCTGGAGGCCTGGCGGGTCGCGGCTTCGGGGGCGGCCCGCGCACGCGCCCTGGCAGCGCGCGCGGACGCTCACAGGCGTAAGTCGCTGCTACTCAGGGGGCTGATCGGTCTGGGGCTCGCCGTTCGGCGGGCGCAGGCGAGGCGGGCCGCAGAGCGGCACTGGGCGGCGGCGACCACAGCGGCGGTGCTGCGGGCGTGGGCAACAGAGGTGTGGGAGAGCAAGGTGCGCCTTGGCGCGGGCCGCAGGGTGAAATCCTGCAGCACAGCTTGCTTGTTGCCCATTCACGCGCGTTGTTTACATCAGTCCAGGCTCCGTCTGCTGTGGAGGCCCTGAGGTACGCAACGCACTAGGCTGGTCGCGCCAGCAGCAACCTGTCAGAAACATCTGTCACACCACACGCCCCCCGCAGGTTGCGGCCCGCAAGTTGACGGCCGCCGTGTTCCTCTGGACGCACACCCTCCAGCGCAACGCGCTCAGCGCGTGGCTGACGCATGCGCGGCGCGAGAAGCGCATGCGGCACTTAGTGGGTGTCGCGCTGGCGTTCAGGTGAGCACGCACACACATGTGACCGTGTGCTGTCATTCCTCGGGATGGGAGTGATAACTTTGGCTTCCTCAGAGATGGGACTCAAACAATCACAGAGGGTGCACAACCATACACCAGGCCCGGGCACATTGTTTGGCGCCGCACGCTCGCAAATGCTTGCCTCTTGTGCTGCCGCGGCCTGTCGTATGCTGCTGCTGCGAGCAGGTCGAGCACCCTGCAGCGCAGCGTTGTGCTGGGCTGGCGGCGGGTGGCGTCTTTCCTGGCGCCCCTGAGGCGGCGGCTGGAAGACCTGGAGGCGCGGGTGGGTGGCGGCTTCGCAGCAGCTTTGCAAGCGGCCGCAGAGGGAGATGCAACACACTTGCGTGGTGCAGGGCGGCAGCGTGCCTTCAGGGGCAAGCGTTTGCATGTATTTCAGGTTTGAGCATCAGCCCTCGTGGCAGCCTCCTGGTTTGGGTGTGCAAGCCAGCTCGCGGTGCTCTTGCTTGAGTGGTGTCGTTCTCATGGACACCTGCCGTGCAGGCGCGTCGCAGCCGGACTCGCGAAGCCCTGGCCACGTGGCGCAGCAACGCAGCCGAGCAGGGCGCGGAGCGGCGCATGCTCCACCACGCGGTCATGCGTATGGCGCACGCAAAGCTCGCCGCGGCGCTGGCGGGGTGGCGGGCCGCTGCGGCGGCGAGGCGGCGCAAGCGGGGCATCCTGCAGGTCGGCTGGCGGCTGATGAACTCACAGGCCTGACGTGGCGGCGGGACCTGCTCTTGAGATCATGCAAGATGGATGTTTTGACGCGGATTCAGCAGCAATCTTTTAGGCTGACCTGTTCATGCTCACGCTCACCACACCTGCCGGCGCCCCCGCAGGTCGCGCTTGCGCGCCTGCGCCACCGCGCCGCGCTGCTGGCGCTGAACCGCTGGCGCGAGTTCGCATCCGAGCGGCTCGCGCTGCGTGCCAAGGCGCAGGCCGTGGTCAAGCACATGCTGCTGCGGCGCCTCTACGCGGGCTTCTGGTGAGGGAAGGGCGGGCGCTGTGATGGCGAAGCTCCTCTTCCAGACCCTGGCTGCAGGTTTCCCACCTCCTGGTCTGGCGCCCTTGCATTCCGTTGCGTCACTGTCCCCGTCGCCACCGCGCGGCCGATTTGCCCAGGGGCTGGCGCGCGGCCGCCACGGCGCGGCGCTGCAAGCGCCAGGCGGTGCAGCGGGCGTTGCTGCACTGGGGCCGCGCGTCGCTGGCGCGGGCGCTCAACACCTGGAATGCCTTGGGAGAGGTGAGAGCCGCTCTTTGCGGGCGTTGTTGATTGGTTGGTTAAGGACGCCACGCGACATTTGCGTGCTGTGCATCACCCCTTGCCTATTTCCCACATATGGGGACAAAGACCTACTTTGGTTTCAGCTGCGGCCACATGCAAGGAGCCAACGCATGTAGCAGGTCGCAACCTGCCCGCTGCTGCCAGCAGTCGCGCTCTGCTAACATGCACGCCGCCAAAATGCACCGCAGGAGGCGAGAGGGAAAGAGGCCGGAGCCCAAGCGCTGCTCTCGCGGTTCCGGCTGGAGCACACCCGCCGCGGCTTGGCTTGGTGGCACGACTTCGCCCAGTACAGCCACCACCACAGGTGCGGTTGCCCGCAGCTGCTGATGTCATCCGGTGTCAGCGCGCGGCGCCGGCTGTTGGCGGATCGCGGCGTCAGGCCTGATGGGTGATGAGGCCAGCTTATGTCAGAAAGCTCGCGGCTGGGCCCAAGACAGCTGATGGTCAAGGGTTACGCTCAGGATATGTTGACCAATTTACATTGCAAGGTTTTGACCAGCTTACAACGTTGGTGCCTGCAAATTTCACTCTCAGGACGGTGCTGGCATACTTCCACGCCCGCCACCTCCGCACCGACGGCGCCGCCGCGCTCGCCGCCTGGCGCACCGCCGCGCGCCGCGCCGCCCTCGCGCGCCGCGCCGCGTCGTTCCGCTGCGCCCGCCTGCTGGTGCGGGCCCTCGGCGCCTGGCTCATCGCGCACGAGGAAGCGAAGCTGGAAAAGGCAGCCGCGCACCACGCGGCCGCCGCCGCGCGTTTCGTGTTGCGCCGCGCGTGGCCGGCGGGCGTCGCGGCCGTGCGGCGGAAGAGGGAGCTGTTGGCAGCGGCGGAGCAGATGGCGGCGGCTCGGCGCGCCGGGCGCGCGCTTGCGGCGTGGGGACGTTTCGCTTACTACCGCCGCATATCCAAGGTCGCGCTGCACTGGCGCGTGCGGCGGCTGGGGTGCCTTGCGCTCAGGCACTGGGTGCAGGTGGGTGGTGCAGTGCTGGCGGGTCTGGGCCCAGCGTGAGCGCCTGTTGAGTCTAATGCATTGTTGCGAGGGATTGCTTTCCACTCGTGACATCCCATCTCAAGTTGTATGGATGATCGCATCAAAGTGGGGAGGCTGCAAGGCAAGGCAGTACAAATCGTTTCACTCATGAACGCATGCACGCGCACGCGCACACGCACACACACACACACACACACTCACACTCACACAGGCCGCCCGCATGCTGGCGGAGGATCGGCAGCACTTGGCCGAGCTGACTCACCACCACGCAGCTGCCGCCGCCACCAGCACCCTCTGCTCGTGGCAGACCCTCACCCGCGCCGCCCGCCACCGCCGGCGCACGGTCATGCTACGCGTACTGCGCGAGTGGGGCGCGTGGGCGGCGGTGCGGGCGGAGAAGGGGGCCCGTGTGCGGGAGGCGGCAGCGGTGGTGAATAGAGGGGTGCTGGAGCGGGTCTTCTTCTCATGGCGGTGGTACACTCAGGTGCGCTTCATGCTGGCTGGCTGGATGTGTGGGGGACCCCGCCGCAAACGTACTGGGGATGCAGCAGAATACGTCCAAGGTGCCGCGCTTGGAAGACGTTGCTACTGGTGCTTGTGTTTGTCAGAAGCGAGCGCTCAAGACAACTGCGCCGCCCTCCACTGCAGCTGCGCGTGATGAAGGAGGTGGCGTTTGCGCACAAGCAGCGCGCCATACGCCAGGCGCTGGCCATGGGGGAGCAGATCGCGCGGCGCCGCGCGCATGCTGCGCTGGCCGCCGCGCTGACGGCCTGGCGCGTGCAGGTGAGGGCCGGCGGCAGGCGCTTTGGTCTTGATCTCAGATCTCACATCTCAGATCTCAAAATCTTGACATGGTCAACATAAGAGCTGAACAGCCCGCATCCTAGTGGCTGGGTGGGGTAATTGAAGTTGTTTGGTGGCCGCCTGTCAAGTGAATCACCTCCTGGCAGCGTGGTTGCTGGTCGCGTCATCTGTGTGCTGCTCAGCCGGCCACTCCTCAACCTCAAACCGCACCCAAAAAGGTCCGCAAGTACCGCCGGGTGGCGGACAGGCTGGCCAGCATGCTGGAGGTCAGCCTCAGGGCCGCCTTCGCCGCCTGGCGCGGCGCGGCTGACGACGCCCGCGTCCGCCGCGCCCGCGC